GCTTGGAAATGAAGTGGCAGAAAACCTTCCCAGTATGTAAATGTGAAGTGATGCAAATGTTGGTATAGTGGATGACTGTCCCAACTTCATGCACAAGATAATGAACTCTGAGCTGACTATGATCCTTGAGGAGTGAGATCTGGGGAGTTATCAGCACTGTCTTCATTGAAAACATCAGCTCAGTATCATTCAAAAAAACAATGCAAATGTTAGAAATTGTTAAGAAAGTAACAGAGAGCAAATGAAAAGAATCCTTACTTATTCCACGGTATAAACTTAGAATTAATCGTTCTGTGTGCAGTTTGGTACCTTATTTCAAAGAGGTTGGTTATAATGGCATCGCAGATGGTTTAGAAAAAGGCATCATGGGCAGTATTATGCATAAAATGGCATTTACATGAGAAAGCAGCTGGCTAGACTAGGACTTTTTAGCCAGGAAGAGACAACATACAGGAGAATACTATAGAGAGATATTTTGAACGAAGTTGTGACATGAAGGTCAGTAGATGTAGACTATTTGCTGGCTCTTCATTCAAAGCCAAGAGCTAGGTGTCATCAAAGCTAGCAGGAGCCAGGTTCAGAACAGACAAAAGAAGGTGGTTCTTTGTATAATGGGTAGGAGATAGGTGATGATGGTGATGTTGCAAATCCAGAAAGTCTGCGTAGTTTCAGGGGAGACTGGAAAAAACAATGAAAGAGAGATTCATTGAACTATGAAATAGATAAATAGATAAAGCATATTGGCCTAGAGAAATTCCTTTAGCTAAAAATAATTGGAGCTAGGGAAAATATTAGGGGAAATATAGGTAACCTACATTCTTGCCTTCCTCTTAGTATCTGCATATGGCCCCTGTTTTTTCAAAGAAAAGTGGAACTAGAAAGGAGGAATGATAAATATAGTCTTTCTTGTTATCACAAAGTATGCAGTAAAGTTTTCTGCAGCTACGCTCGCTGAGCACAGATGATGAGCTTACCGGTTTACCTTGACCATTGGTCTGAAACAGTATACCTGTCCTTATGGTTTTCTTGGCTCGATTAGTAAAAGTGGTTACTGGTGGAAATGGGATTGGAGTAATGACTTTGAAGGAACAAAGAGGTACATGAACATGCTGTGTCTTTGAATGTGAGTTCAGATCATTAATACCCTTTAGCAGATCTTTAGAGCTTCACAAGAGATCTTCAGAACTGTAGTAGATCCTTAGTGCTCAGCCGCAGCTGGATCACAATGCCAGACGTGTATTAGACTTGATAAAACGAGACTGACTTGAGACTTCTTGTAGGGAAAGCAAGAAATTGTAATAATGTGGAAGAAGGTAAGAAAAATAAGATGTTATGGGCAAGAAATTAAATCAGGAATACTTTTACGTTCTGTTCTCACAGTTACTAATAGAAACACCACCTTCTTGTAGGTTAAATGTATCGTGAGTTACAAAACTGTCTGGGATTTTACTAGGACCCTTGTTCTACAAGCGTTTGCAGAGGTATTTTTAAATAGATGCTGCCTCGTGGTTTATCTGCAACATCATGGACTAGACACGCTCAAATAGGTGAATCACCAAAATTAGATGAAGCATAGGGCAGAGTCCTAGCTAGATTGAAAACATTATCCTAACTTCCATGTAACAGTGATTTTAATTGGTTCTACAGTATATTGATGACAGGAAGAAATGGTCTAAAGCTAAAATTTAATCTAAAAAACCCAATTATCTCCTATTATCAAGTCAATATAAATAACTTCTAAAGCTTCTTTATAAACTCTCAAATACTAGCCACTTCCCAAGTTTATCATTAAAAGGGTATATAGTTTTATAGTTATTAATGTTAACAGGTCTAGACAAGTCAGACTATTTTCTTGAAAATAAATGCTTTATTGTCTAAAAATTTGCTTTTAATGTTATTGAAAATAAAATTGCTTATATTTAAAAAAAAATCCTAATAGTGTAAAAATGTCATGCTGAAAGAAGTGGTATGGCACTGCTAAATGCAAATACACTTGTAAGAGTGATGATAAACAGTAAACCACATTCATATTTCTTTTCTGTGGAAGGTGCATAGTGATTTGGGCAAACTGATCCTTCAATATTGCCAGCTATGTATGATAAACCATGTTAAAGGATTATGACTTATGGGAATGCTATGAATTTTTTGTATCTACACTTGTAGTTTATTTTCATTTTAAAGACTGTAGACCATAACTCTGTACTCTTAGTTTTGTATGCAGTATGGGGAGTTTATCCCAGAATGGGGCTTTTTTGATGCAAAAACTGAATGCTTATGTAGTAGCAACAGCTGTCCCCTCACCATGTGGTGTCTTCCATTGCTTTACTGTAGAGATGAATTTTGGCCCTGTGTTTCAGGAATATTGGACACACATGGTTTTAGGTGACAAAGCAGTATGTTTATGCATTCATTTGACTCTCGCAGTTACAGTTGGCTACAGATTAGAACAGGGAGAATACATTCACACCATGACCACCCTCATAGCTGCTTGTAGTAGTTGGATCACAGTAGGCGCTGTTGCATCTAAAGACGCAATTAACTGTTGCTGAGGAATTGCAAATTCACAAAAGCTTTTTACAGCTTTAATGGTTGAGAGTAGATTTTCTAAAACCTTTTCAAAGATTTTCCACATTTATAAATGTTTTAGATCTTCACATTCTAAAATTACTGTCAGCTTGAAATAAGATTAATGAGTTGATATTTTAGTAGCTAATGAATTCTTGTGCTGTGAATTATCTATAGAATTAGCTACAGATCTACAGAGTGGTTATAGTTTTGTCTGTAATTTAGGAAGATAACATTATGGCTTCTGTAATATTTAGAAATGGTTAGTGAAGTTTTGAGCACATAGGAAAATCAAAGCTTACCAAAAAAGTCTGAAAATAAAACTTAGCGGAAAGCTTCTGACTCATGTGCATCACTGAAAATATCATCCTGCTTTCCACGTAATTGCTTAGATGTGCTTTGGCTATGGTAAGAGAGAGTAACTGTGAATTTCTTTTTTAAAATAAACACCAAACCCAAAATAACAAGAAAAAAAAAGACACACCAAAAAATGGCAGAAAACCGAAAGCCCACACAAAGTTTTAATACAAATTAAATACAATATTACAGTGAACTGCACATTATGGATAATTTTGAGATATGAAATTTGACTTTTTTGAAAAAAAATGCTTTTAACCCAAAATTGCAGAATAATTCATTATTTAAGTTAGTGCTGAAAATTTTTGTAAGTAGAACGTTAAGTACCCCAAATCTTGCCCTTAAAAAAATCTCTGAGAAATATTTTAGTATAAAATATATATGGAGTATAATATGATAAATAAATATAGAGAGTATATTAACTTGTTTAATACAGTAAAAGTAATAAGGTTATTGTGCAATGTGGACATTTTCTGTGTATTTATCATTTCTTCTGTAGGCCAGAGTGTAATTGTATGATAATGCATGTAATGTATGTGCGAGATCTCTCACATACACACACGTTATTTAAGCGCCTTGCATTCGAGTCATCACAGATAATTCATTTTATATTTGTATTAAAAACTATCCGAATATGAATGTGTGAGGCTTTCAGCATAGAATAAAGGACTACATGGATCCAAACTAGGACGATTGATGAAATCCTTGCTACTATTGGCTATTATTTACTGTCTTCTAAGTGGCAGGTTGTATTTATGCCAATTTATCTGCTTCAGGGAACACTCTTGATAGCAGAACAAAGTGAATAAAAGTAGTTTGCTTTGCAAATGAATGCAAATGGTGGAGCCTTTCGGGAAGCCCTTTAACAGGAGCAATGCACTTTGATTATGAGTGAAGCTGCCATTTGGACATGGTGAAAAGAGCACGCTTGAACCATTGATTGGGGGAGACAGTAAAAAGTCAGGAAGGGCCCCGTTAAGCTGGCGGTGCGGCAGGCGGATGTCAGTGTGGTTAGAGCACAGTGGGAGAATGACAGGCGGGATTAGTGTCAGGGAGAAGCTTTGCTGGAGTTGTGGAGATGGTCCCTGGGGTCACTCACCTCTGACTGTTGTTCTGTGCCAATGGCTCTGTAATACAAACTGCTTGATACGTGCCCGTTCATTATCGGAAGTGGTGATTAGAAGAGGTACGTCATAAAGAATTCCTTAAAAATAAATAAAATGGCAAACTACTGATGGTAACAAAGATTCGGCTCTGCGGTCCTTGCCAAAGACGCTGCACATGTCAAAGACGGTTACTGTGTCTTGCCTTACGAGGCAAGGGAGATGTCATGCCTTAAACTGCTCTAATTGCCTGCTCCTTGCTCTGCTCGCTTTTATTTGGCCGTTAGGAAGACAGTTATTTTTAACAGGTTGTCTTATTCAGTTAGAGCAAAACATTTTTCTAGCTTTTGGTTATTGGGTGGTAGAAGCATCCGGTTTGGTTTTGTGGCATAACCGTGTTTTGTGGGGGGAAGGAGGGTTGTTTAATAGTCCTAGTGGAATATTAGAATCAACAGATCTCATTCCTGAATCATCCCAGAATACGAAAATGGGATGATAACAGTGACAAAAAGCTAAAATGACTGTTCTGGTTTGTTTAGAGACCTTTTTTAAAATGTAAAAATGAGGATATTTTCTTTGTCTTTGGTGGAAGAAAAAGTCTCATGTGCATAAATACATGTCTAAAATTTTTATATCTTGAACTGTGATTTTAGTAAGTGTCTTCAATCTTTACTGCATTTTATAGTGTGATGTATCTTGTATAAATGTTGATAGAAATTAAATGTGTTAGTGTATATAATACACAAAATGCATATTTTGAGTGTTAGGGGTTTTTAAGATCTTACTGTCGCTCTGTTGTTTTTATGCATTTTTGGCAACAGCATAGGGAGGTGGTATCCAGATACATGAAACTGTTGAATTCTTGTTTTATACTATTTGATTAATTCGTTTGAAGATTTTTTTTTTCCAGTATATTACCTCACAAAAATATGTCCAGTATCCCAGTGTAATGAATGTTTTACAAATGTTTTACAGGCACCTGAATGGACAGAGGAGGACCTCAGCCAGCTGACAAGAAGTATGGTTAAGTTCCCAGGGGGGACCCCAGGTCGATGGGAAAAGATTGCTCACGAATTGGGTCGATCAGTGGCAGATGTGAGTTCCCTCGGATTTGCATTGTGTAGAGAGTGACAAACCAGAACAAGGCAGGCAGTGTAGAAGGCAGGCGTATATGGGGGCCGACATTGTCTTTGAGAGAGGCTATAGTCCTTTTAGGACCTGGAAGTGAACCATTAACAAACTGTGCAAGAAGCAGATGTCAGCCAGTCTCTCCCTCCACAATGAACAGCTGTAAGTGATCAGCTGGAGGGGGGATTCTGCTGCTTACAGACTTCAGCTACTGTAACCCAATAACAGAAAAACAATGCACTTTGGGTTCTGTAGCAACCTCCTTTCACTGCAAGGGAATGTTTGTGTGACTTGGTTGAAGATTACGTTTCTGTTTCAAGCCAGTCCTTCAAAAATGTAGATGAGCTAATGGTGTTTAGACAGGTGGTTTCCATTAATTAAACTGAAATACCTTTACAAAAATGTGAAACGCGTTATACATATGATACCGTTTCAGTCCCTGTTTCTGGATTATAGCATGATTAATAATGATACTGTGTAAAATGATTAATATCCTTGTTAATTCACATTTTATAGTATTGTACCACATATCAAAGAAAGCTTGTACTTAACGATTTTTAAGTGTTATGATCTTAAAACCCTTAGGGGCTAGGCTGCAAAAGACTTTTCCTTTTCAAGCAATAGATCACTAGAACATGATGTAGTGTCTGCTGAGGACCATTTGAAAGCCTTTTCAGCTGCCCCTATTTTATAGGTTCTGGAGGGGTTAATGAGAATAATGTTTAAATCTGTTGATGCACATTCTGAGATTAGATGTTCTTTATTTATTATATTTCAGGAATTATCTGAAATAATGGGAAACAGAGCCTCTGACTAGAGTGAAACATAACCCATTACAGCCTTCTGGGCAATTTGCGTACTTAAGTGTTTTTTTCCCTGTTGATATAATGACAAAAAGATATTTTTAGAAGTTATTCTTAAATATTTAATGCATGTATACAGTTCTGTTACTCACATATACTAGAAAATAGGCCATTTGCATTCTTATAATGTTAGAACAAGACATTATTTGCAAATAAGTGGATGTAAGCAAGAAGTTGCTAACCTGCTATACAAATGAAATTGTCTTTTTTTGTTTATTCTGTTTAGTGTTGTTTATCATACTCCTGAAGTATTCATACTGCTGAAGTGGAGTGACTTTATTAAAAAGATGCTACATTTTATTAAGCAGATACTAATAGCAAAAATACTTACACATGGCTTGGTAGTATGCAGTTTGCATGGGAAAGATCTTTTGAGGTTGCTTTAGAAAAAATTATGAATTTGCTTGTTACTGATGGTACAAACATGTGGAATGCTACCACATATACCTATCACAAAACTAACACTATCTTAACACTGCCTTTTGCACCCATTTTCTGTTTGATTCCTCAAAGACGGTGTAAAAACATTCTTTTTTGGGAATCCTTTGCGTAGTATATTTGGCCACCATACTTGCACACATCCAGTACTGGTAAGAAAAAACAAAGCTCGTTTGCTTCTTCCTTTAGGCGAGGAGTCTTGAGCAACATGCTTTTCAGTGAATTGGAAAGAGAAACGAATTCTAAGAGCTGTCATTTTCTTGTATAAAAAAAGGAATTTTCAGGGGTGTTTGTGTAGAGAAAGGTCTGAGTAATCCTTTTTACTTCCAGTGACCTCCAACTATATGATTGATGTAAGTGTTCTCCACACAAGTTTTTCCTTCTCTGAGAATTTCCCACTGCTGATAATGTTAGGGCAGCTTTCCTGGCACAGTCTGCGTGTTGGAATTTCTGCTGCTTTTATCACTGGATTGCACAGAGTTACAGTGATTAGGCTGGAAAGGAAACACTTCAACAAAAGCTCCCTGGAAACTTCTCTGGATCTCAAACTGTTCCTGCTTCAGGATCAGAAATGTTGAAACTGGGAACTAGTTCAGATATATCCGTTCAGCTGTTGAACAAGATGTACAGCTTACCCTTGGTATTTGGTGAAGGTGACATAGAATAGCATCTGAATTTACAGCAAGGATTCCTATTTTGCTTGGGCATCACCATAGCTGCATAAGAAATATAAAGCTGCCAGAAGAACCTCTGGTTTTGTTAAACTTTGTGCACAGAAAAAGAGGTGTTTGCAAGTGCAGGCAGTGTTTGCTGCCCTAACAACTGTTCCCTGTTTCCACTGGGATAGGTGCCGGGAGGTAAGTTTTGGGCTGTGAAGTGCTGTTTTGAAATAACTTGTGGAGCAGAGTTTGGGAATCTCTTGCTTAGAGCTAATTTAACATTAGTCGGGCCAGAGGACGCTTGAAGTGTGTGTTATCTGGCAAATGCACTAGATCTTGAAAAACATTCAAGGGAAAATTTGAATTTGTTTTTCCAACATTTTCTGTGACACAGGCAATCCTTTTCAAAAACTTGAGACCACTTTCTGCTGGTTTCTTCTCCTGTAAAGTATCAACAGCAGTAAGGCTTGGTTTTCCTTCACAGTCAGACAGCTACAGTAGGAAGGATTGCAAGGTACAGTGTGCTTGTTTCCACGTGATTTTAAGCATTCAAACCTTTTTTAATAGTAGATCAGCTAAACAGGTGCTAATAAAATGAGTTCAAAGTAATCCAGTCCAAAATCATCTCTCCATTGTTGCTTCTGGTCTCAATGCCTTCTTCCTCAGCAAAAAAGGTTAGAAAAATATTTCAATAATTCTAAATAATAAGCTGAAACTATTCATATATACCAGAAGAGCATCAGTGAAATTCAGTCCCTCTAACCACCCCAAAGGAATTTTAAATTGTCTTAAACTCCTTCCTTTTGTTAAGAAGTAAATTCCTGCATCAAACTATATTCACAGAATCACAGAATGTTAGGGATTGGAAGGGACCTCTGTGGGTCATCTAGTCCAATTTCCACTGGCAAGTTTTAAGCAGGATGAAGTGGCTTGAGGAGAGCGTTCTTTGCTTTTGTGAACTTTTCTGCTTCATGGTGTGGTTTTAACTTAGTGTTGTGGGTTTATTTGTTTTGGAGTTTTAAAAGTATTTCTGAGTTTTCCTCCTGGCATTATGGTAGTGAGTTTTGGGACAGTATGAAGCAAAACGTCTCATGCCTGGAGCTTTAATACTGCTTTTTCACATATAAAGAAGGCCCAAAAAGTCTGTGTGTCTGACTCATTTCCAGAGAGAGTTGTTCAGCTTGGAAGATTCTTCCTTGATTTTGCTAGAACATGACTTTGATACCCCAGTGCCTGGTGAGCACATGTAAATCTTACAAAGCTGAGAGGAACTGGAAGTATATTGGAAGATTGGTAGAATTCAGAAAGGTCAGGACAAATTAGAAAAATCAGATGCAAAAAAGAGGGTGAAATTAAAAAGACAATGTATACAAGGACACACAGCAAGACGGTGATCAAGTTCACAAATAAAAAACTGGCTAAGGGTAGCTCTTAAACAGCAGGAGGAACGCGGAAGTAATGAGCGAGATACAAGTCAACAACTAGTGAGTTGTGAAAAAGGCAAGCATCTTACGGAGAATATACACACAGGAGAATGGTAAATCTACACCTACATCCTTAGTCTGTGTCTAGTTTTCAGTATTACACTTAAACACCTGATTCAATATAAAGAGTCCAGATGAGAATAAAGAGAATAATAGCTCTCTAAAGTGTGACCGACAAGGGAAGATTGTGAAGGAATTCATGTTGCTGAACTGAAAGAAAGTATGAACTGAGGATGTAAGTATGCAGCTACATAAAAGGAGAGCTGCAAAGAGGAATGGGCTTGCGCTATGCATCAGTTTTACTGGGCAAAAAGTAATTACCCCAAATTTTATCACAGGCTGCAGAGTTAGACATTGAGGGGCAAAGAATTGCAGTGGAGATGATAAAGCAGTGGACTAAGGTGCTGTGGAGGCTCCAGGTTTGCAGGCCTTTAAGAATAGGTTAGACAAACATCTGCCAGCAACAACATGAATGTAGTGATTCTGCCTGAGGTTAGGTCCTTCCCTTCACATGGTCTGTGATTAGACTAGCAAGTGCAAGCTATCTAGGAGGAAGGGGGAGGAAAGAAAACCTTCTCTACAATTGGAAGCATGTGTGAACTCATTTTAGAAAATGTAAGATTAAAGCCACATAGTCACGATATTTGGTTAGTAGTCACTGCATATACCTTAGCTCGACTATTCATAAATTCAGTAATTCCTAACAAGGTGTTCTTTCAGGTATTTTTTTCTTCTCTACTAATATTCAGATTGAGGTTTTGTAGACACTGAAGTTTGTTAATTGTGTTATTTCCCAAAATACTGCACAAATAAGGGCTACTATATGACCCATTAAATGGGTGTGTCGACCAGATTCCCCCTCCCAACAGGTACACCCGCATGACGTGACGCAGGCCGCTGGGGAAGTGCCAGCCGAAATCCAACAACAAACAGCTATGTCCATGTTGTGGTACCCCTGAGCTGATTCAGCTCTGCTGGTCATATCTGTGCTGCCTTATGTGATACCAGCATAAATACCTTTGCTACATATTCCTGGGCTTTTCAGCTCAGAGCTAAGCTTGCAGCCATGGTGCAGACATACTGTAAGGAGGCTGATTACCTTAACTTCTGTCATGTTAAATATAGGACATGTTTATCTTGTCTGTCTTCAGGAAGACATGTTGTAACAGCCAATGAATAATCAACCCAAAATAGATGAGGTTAAGTTGTGCTCATTTTATCAGTATGTTTAATTATTTAAATTGCTAATTGTCATTTTAGTATGTGCATATTGGGAATTTAGCAATCTCTTCCCATAAAGATGATTTTCACCTGGCTTAGTATAATGAAATCTTACTGCTTTCACAACTGAAAGCTTCTACAGCTTTTAAAGTAATTTTTATTGCAGTTGGCTAGTGTTATAAATTAGATTTTCAAGTATTTTGTTTATGAAAGGGAAATGGAGTTCAGTTAACTCTAATCAGGGTTCCTGCCTGCTGACCTGGTTACCTGTACTAGTGCTCTCTGTCATCCTCTGAACATCT